GGACGCGGTGCTGTGCAGCCTGCTGTGGGTGACCCTGCTTGGGCAGGGGGTTGGGCTGGGTGACCCACAGAGGTCCCTTCCAGCCCCCACCATGCTGGGATTCTGTGAACCCCACCGAGACCTGGGTCCCTTTGTCATGGTGCATCCCGCAGAGATGGGTCCCTCACCTGGAGATGCTGTGGGACACCACTCTGCTCGGGGACCACTCCACACGCCAGTCCTTGGGCACGGAGAAGGTCTAAGCCCCCCAGGCAGGGTGTCCTGGCGGGGTTCAATCTCTGAGCCCGCTGGCCATGGGTTACCCCCAGCTGCTGCCGCCCCCCGAGCCCATAAAATTAAAAAAGCAATCACCAGCCCTCCCGCTCCTTCTTTCAGCTAAGAAAAGCAACAGAATTAGAGCTCTGCAAAGACAGAATCACAGAATCACAGAATGGTGGGGGTTGGAAGGGACCTCTGTGGGTCACCCAGTCCAACCCCCCTGCTGAAGCAGGGTCACCCAGAGCAGGCTGCAGAGGACCTCCTCAGACGAGGAGGGCCACGAATCTCTGCACCCCGAGCCACGAGCCCACACAAAACGTTGCTTTTCTGGCAGGAGCCATTTCGAAAGCCAAATTAATTTGACTCCCTTCAGCTCAATGCGTGTCTGCTCGCCTTAAAGGCACGACGCCCAAGTGTCATTTCGTCGTCTGTGCCGACCCTTAATGGTTTTTTATTTCCATACTGGAAACTCGCTGGTTGAAGAAGGCGCTGGCGGGGTCTTTACGTCTGCATTTCCACCTGGAAATCAAGCTGCCGATGAGGAGCAAGGGAGAAGCCACCCCTTGGGGACAAGGGACAGCATCAGCTGACCACCAGACCCCTTCCAAACAGAGAGGGGCTGCCAGAGGGAGCAGGGAGCTGTGGGACTGGGGGGACTGGGACCTTCCGGCCCGCCCCCCCGCCGAGGCGGCCGTGTTTCCGGGTAGAGGACGGGCAGCGAGCCCATCTCTCGGGGCTCCAGGAGAGCGCGGTAGCTATTAAAACAGATTAAATGAATTAGGCAAGGAAGTGACTTGAGGGGAGATGGCACAGCTGGGCTCCCAAGCCAGCTTTGCAGCCGTGCCAGGGCTTACCTCAGCATCAGATTTTGGAGCTGATGGCAATTCCCCACGGCTCGAGAGCGGGGAGAAGAGGAGAAGCATTTGAGCTGGTTTAGGATCTCTGCATGCCCACATTATTAAAACAGATTAAATGAATTAGGCAAGGAAGTGACTTGAGGGGAGATGGCACAGCTGGGCTCCCAAGCCAGCTTTGCAGCCGTGCCAGGGCTTACCTCAGCATCAGATTTTGGAGCTGATGGCAATTCCCCACGGCTCGAGAGCGGGGAGAAGAGGAGAAGCATTTGAGCTGGTTTAGGATCTCTGCATGCCCACATCTTAATGTGAAACCTTTCCAGCTCCTCTGGGTCCCTCGGGTCACCCCGCATCTGACATTTTCCTGGATTCGCCGAGTCCCTTTTTGGTCCCTGGGGACTAACACCCAGCACTGTCCTCCTAGAGCATCCCCAGAGGGGACAGCTCGCAGTGTAAACCGGGTTATCTTTTACGTTGCAGCCAGGTAAGGAAGGGCATCAGCCCTTTCCAGGAATGATGCTGGGGTACCCCAGACATCGTAGCCTTAAAATCAGAGCCTGTCACCCACCCCCGAGACCCAAACTGAGCAATTCACGGCCTGTCCCCCGTCTTTACGAGGGGTTGTGAGACCTTGGCAGCAGCGGGGCTGTGCCAGAGCTGCTTCTCTGCAGCCACATTCTCAAGCTTTTTGTCTGCAATGTATGAATAATCACAATTTTTTTCATTCTGGCTTTTGGGTTCA